AGCAGCAAAGCACGGGCAACGCATGGGCAACAAATGGGCAACACATGGGCAACACACCTGTAGACGATGGGCTTGGGCTGAATGGTGGACGGAAGCATGCACGTCCACTGGTGATGCGGGGGAGGGTGGGGGGAGGGTGGGGGGGGGGAGGGGAGGAACAGATGGTGGTGGGGGGTAAGTCGTGGACGAATCCCCCAAACTCCCTCTTCTCCCCCCCGTTTCCCCCCCTTTCCCCCCCTTTCCCCCCGTTTCCCCCCCGTTCCCCCTGTTTCCCAAGCCACCCTCCCGCACCAAAACGGCCTCCGTCCTCCCACGCACCGTAGCTCCACATGCCCAGCCTTTCTTCGCTTGGGCCCTGGTACATGAAGACGAGGAGGAAAAGCGCCCCTTCACATTACATGCCTACACTCCCTCCACCCGTTTCCAACCCTCCCTCCCCCCCTCCCCCAGCCCCCAGCCCCCATCCCCCAGTCCCTAGCTCCCCACTCACCTTACCACCATCCCCCCACACACCCAGCCTGTATTCCCAGGGGCACGGGTACGAGCACAGGGAAGAGCCCACCCTCTCACCTCAACCCCCCTTCCCCTTCCCCCCTCCACCCCCGCACCCCCTCCCCCTCCTCCCCCCCCCCCAACCCTACTCTCACTCACCTTGCCACCGCCCCCCCACACGCCCAGCCTCTCTTCCCCAGGGCACTGGTACGTGGGGAAGAGCACAGGGAGCACTCTTTCACCTCACTCACCTCCCCTTTACCCCACCTCCAAGCCGCCCCTACTCTCACTCACCTTGCCACCGCCCCCCCACACGCCCAGCCTCTCTTCCCCAGGGCACTGGTACGTGGGGAAGAGCACAGGGAGCACTCTTTCACCTCACTCACCTCCCCTTTACCCCACCTCCAAGCCGCCCCTACTCTCACTCACCTTGCCACCGCCCCCCCACACGCCCAGCCTCTCTTCCCCAGGGCACTGGTACGTGGGGAAGAGCACAGGGAGCACTCTTTCACCTCACTCACCTCCCCTTTACCCCACCTCCAAGCCGCCCCTACTCTCACTCACCTTGCCACCGTCCCCCCACACGCCCAGCCTCTCTTCTCCTGGGCACTGGTACGCGGGCACGCCCACAGGGAAGTCCCCACCATCTCACCTCGCCCCCACTTCCCCCCCCACCCGCGCACCCCCTTTCCCCCCCCACCCCCGAACCCCCTCCCCCCCTCTCACTCACCTTACCACCGTCCCCCCACACGCCCAGCCTCTCTTCCCCGGGGCACTGGTACGTGGGCACGAGGACGCGGATGAGCATATCTGAGCCGTCCGTCACATCTGACGGCTGGAAATGGCCGCCGTTGAAGTCCTTGCGTCGCTGCACATTCAGCTGTCATGGGGTAGGAAGGGAGGGGGGGATGGATTCGTTACGGGGATAAGGATGGAGGATAAGAGAATACACTTCACCTGATACTACAAGAGTCACACAAAGAGAAATTTGGAAGGGCATACGCAAATGTGCACGAGATTTTTTCAGGCCATTTCAAGTTTCAACTCCATTTCAAGTTTCAACTCCATTTCAAGTTTCAACTCCATTTCAAGTTTCAACTCCATTTCAAGTTTCAACTCCATTCCAAGTTTAATTATTTTTCTCTGCACCTTCATCTCTTGCCTGAAGACATCCGAGTCACCTCTAAACTGCGCGCGATTGTTTATTTTTGCGATAGCCGTGCGAAATTCGAACGTCAGCTCGCGAGCTCGCAGCCAATCGCGTGATAAACCTGGAGAGCTACTAAGGAGGACAAGGCAAACTTCGCAACCATGGCTATTTTTGAGGCGTCTCAAAAATACCTGGAGAGCTACTACCAAGGACAAGTTTCGCAACCATGGCGAGTCGGCTCGCTAGGTCACTGCCGAACGCGTGACAGAGCTGGAGAGCTACTAAGGGGGACAAGTTTCGCAAGCATGGCGAGTCGCGCAAATCGAACCGCGCGTCGACGATGAGAGCGCGTTCGAAGTGCAGGTGATGCGTGCCTGCCGGCCTGACGTGAAGGGAATCTTCCAGGAGAAATTCTACGCGGAGAATTTTACAACTTGAAGTTGCTACCTCGCAACAACCTATCCGCTATAAGCCCAAAATATCGATGAGAGAACCGTTCTACCCGAAATTAAATGACGTCAAGACGATCTTATCCGCCCTGAGAACGTACCCAGTAGTTCTCTTCAGCACGGCGAGGAGGAGTCTATTTTCTTTAGCAAGAAATAAATTAATTGCGGCGTCGACGTCGATGGAACCGCTGTGTACCGCATTGAACCGACTTGACATTACGCGACTGCCTACCACGTACCCAGTAGTTCTCTTCAGCGCGGCACTGAGCCGCGCTGATCTTGCACCCGGCAGGTCCGCCGCCTTCGGGAATTATTGCGGCGTCGATACGCGGCTCGTCTTGTTGCGCGACTCGCCATGGCTGCAGGAAGAGAACGAACGGCAGCTCGAGCGCGAGAATTACGGCGGTGGCGATTAAGTACGGCTTCGCCGCGTGCAGGTACGACGCGAAATTGCCGCTGCCGCCGCCGCCGCCGCCGGGTTTCCCTATATCGAGGACGAAAAACGCGCTGGATGTCATGATGACTGGTACGGAGAACTATGAAAGGGAGATGAAACTGGTACTCTGAAACCACTACTTTGAGGCTACTGGTATTATTACTACTAGTAGGTAGTCGCGGTCGTGCAGTCTCGGAAATAAAGGGGCGTAAGCTCTGTTTCCAACAGAGTAATAAGCCGGCGGTGAGCGTGCCGTTTATGTGGATTTATGCTATGGGTCAGTGGGTCATTCCGTTTCTACCGCATCTGGATTGACGATGTACTGTACACGTGTACCAGCCAGATGTTTCACAGTCTCTCGAATGCAGTTGAACGTACAACTATCTGGCTGTAGGCCAGTTTCGGGCTTGCATAGCATTGCACGAGCAAGGCCTCGCTGCTGTGTTGACATGGACAGTTGACCTCACAACAACACAAGCAGCAGGAGAGGAGACACGCCATGTAAGGGCGGATTCTGGAGCTCGTGTCTGGCACCCGTGTCATACAGGAATACCCGAGGCAAAAAAAATTGCCTCGGGTCTCACGACTCCTGACGGCTGCTTGACTGGAAACACACCGTTCGCAGACAAACCTACCGAGCTAGAAGTGGCGCGGTGCATCGCCCGCCAATGTACACCTCCAATTCTCTTTGCGACAACTCTGTGCGATTTTCTGTACATCGTCAACTTGTTTTGTGACTTTCTCCACCTCTGTAGGCGCACAACCGTCAAAGTAACTAGACCCAAGGTTGAGTCTCTAAACCCCGCGGCTCCTTCGACCGCGGGTCAGCCTCGAGGTCAGATGCCAGGTGCAGAAGGCCTCTAAGTTGGTTTGGAAGTTCCACGAATGCTATGCAGCCCCCATCACACCTTGATGTCTCTCGAGTAAAATGATGGGGAAAGGGGGATTCATCAGCATCCCACTAGGGATTCTCGCGAAGTGCTGCGATTCTGGCGAGTGCATCGTTCGCCGTAAACATCGGAACCGGGTGCAGACCAATCGTGCGGGCCTCCTCTTTGGAATGTTTCGTCAGTCGCAGGGGCTATGGAGTAACCCTGATATTGCATTATCTGGAGAAGTGGGGGGGGGGGGGGGGGAGGAAAGGAGTGGGGAGTACGGGGGCGGGGTTCGGCCTTAGTCAAGCCAATGCCCCCAAACCAACCGCTGCGGAAGTCAAGCGCGCTTCACTGTCCCCCCAATGCCCCGCCCGCTGCGCTCCGTCCGCCCCATTGTGAGATGAGAATCCCACTTTGCAGGCCATTTGGTTTTGATTGGTTGGAGGATCAGCAGCAGGACTGTGGCTATCAGGGTAATTAGCCTCAACATAAAGAAATTAATAGTCGTTTACGACCGAATCCCTTTTTGCATAGTAAAATAGTTTTGATTCTGTCTGCCTAACGGTCTACTTTTCGTGTGATTCCAGGACATTGCGGGTTACCTTTCTTTGATTCCGTACGAAGTGCAATCGCAGAAGGAGATCTGTACCCTTCCCAGCCTCCCCTCTACTTTTCCCAACTTTCTCCACTAAGCAAAGCGCGAGGTTAGTTGCCGGGGTTATTTCTACCCTTCCAACTGCCCGCGGCTCAGGATTAAAAAAAAAACAGCCCCTGGGGTTTCAATCGCTTTTCCTTAGCCCTGGCCAAGGCCATTTTCAAGGATGTTAGTATCAAACCAAGAGTAGCTCTTAGACGAATCCGTAGGCCAACGGGTAATATTTCGGAGATTCCGTCCGCAAACGGGTATTTTCGAGACTGATTCCGTGACCTAACGGAATACCCTAGGCTTAGCGAGAGCCCTGATCAGCAGTCGGTTGAATGCGCAATAATCCCCCCAGCTGAGCCGCCAGCCAGTGTCACTTCACTTCGTGTGGGATGTACGGTCCACATTCCCTTCCTCTTTTCGCAACCCCGATATTGTCACACGCCTTTCATCTCCTGTACGCCAAACAAGAGCGGCTGAGGGAGCTTCATGTGCCACGTGTTTCCGCTGCGCTAAGAAATAGCTCGTTTGTCGATCCGAAGCTGAGAGTTAGTGATCGGCAAAATCATATAGCAGACTCAACATCATAGTGATATGCCATGGAGTGCTTCGCCTAGGCACTTCGCTCATAACGAGGATGTCAACATGTGCTTTGGCTGGGCTGTGATGTGAGCACCAGCTCCTGCTGTACTTGCAAGTTGGTCCTTCAGTCCTCAGCGGTCCCATTCTTGCACTTAGAGTGGGACCTTAAAGGGCATACCCTAGCGCACGTACGAATGCGGTTGAGTAAGACGAATTGCGTTTTAGAAAGATAAAGTAACTCTGTAAAACGGTTCAGTAGGGTATTGGCTAAAAGCGAATGCTTACAGCATTGGTCAATCATCAGCATTATAAATCCCCTGACTGCACACAGGAGATAATGCTGTGATGCCCCTGTACTGTACACATCTCTCGTTCGGCCCCTCATCTCGTTCTCTCAACAACCACCGTCCCTCGGCTGCTCATCGCCGTCCTTATCGACGAGCATTTCGTTTCTACTCAATGGCATTACGACACTATACCGTCAGCTATTGCTGCATAGGACTAAAGAACCTTACCGCATTGTAGTGCGGCTCCTTTCGCCGCCGTAGCTGATTCCAGCACTCAATTACGTCACTTACCACTCAGCCAGTGATGTCATCATGTCGTACACTGTAGTCCACGTCACAGCCTCCGACTTTTCGCAGCGAAACCAATCGGTCGTCGAGAGATTAAAGCCGTACTTATTCATCACGTTCGTGATTCTCGCCTTAGGAGTGCCTCTGCTGATTGTATTCCAGCCAACTCCCACGGTGCTTCCAATTGACGCTGCCGCTTCCCCTTCCGCTTCCGCTTCCGCCGCTTCCGTTTCCGCATTGAGTTTCGAGGCGTCTCAAAACTCGACCGACGCTGCTTCTTCCGCATCCTCCTCTGCTGTATCCTCGCTAGAAGCCGGCCTTGTTAAAGGCGTTGGCATTGCGTGGTCGCTATGTCGAGCCGAGGCTGCTTATTGGGTGAGTGGTAAGAAGGACAGTGCATTGAAGTTGTACGCGCTAACAAGAAAGCGTACCTCGTTGGATTGGAGATCATCTACAGGCGCAATGTACCCAATCACAGCAGCCAATCACAGCAGCCGATCACAGCAGCCAATCACAGCAGGCAATCGCAGCAGCCGATCACAGCACCCAATCGCAGCAGCCGATCACCGCACCCAATCACAGCAGCCGATCACAGCAGTCAATCGCAGCAGCCAATCACAGCACCCGATCACAGCAGCCAATTACGGCTAACATTGACAGAGGAACGGTAGCCAGCCACGGGAATCAATGGCTTTCGAACGCCAACGGCCTGCCGTCCCTTTTGCCGCCCCTGCTGCCGCCCCTGCTGCCGTCCCTGCTGCCGTCCCTGCTGCCGTCCCTGCTGCCGCCCCTGCTGCCGTCCCTGCTGCCGTCCCTGCTGCCGTCCCTGCTGCCGCCCCTGCTGCCATCACAGCGAATATTGACAGGCGAACGGACATAGATCGCAGGATTGCAGCAGCTCACATCGGGGATCAGTGGCCCATAAACGCCTACGACCTCCTGCCGCTGCTGCTGTCAGTGCTCATGCCCTTTCTTCCCCTCTCTTTCCCACTTACCCCTCCGCACACACACCCGCCCTCCCCCTCCCTTCCAGGCTGACATTGACAGGCGCAAGGCAGCTCATAACGGGGACCAGTGGCCCATGGACGCCTACGACCTGCCGTCGCTGCTGCTGTCTGTGCTCATGCCCACGTACCCGTGCCCAGCCGAGGAGCGGGTGGGGGCGTGGGGGGATGGGGGCAAGGTGAGCAGACTGGGGTGATGGGGAATGGGGAATGGGGGATGGGGGGTGGGGGCAAGGTGAGAAGGCTTGGGGGATTGGGGGATTGGGGGGGGAAGGTAGATGGTGAGGTTCCTTCACCGTTCCGCTGCTGCTGTCTGTGCTCATGCCCACGTACCCCGTGCCCAGCCGAGGAGAGGGTGGGGGCCTGGGGGGATGGGGGCAAGGTGAGGGGGCTGGAGGATTGGGGGATGGGGGGGCAAGGTGAGAGGGCTTGGGGGGTTGGGGGATGGGGGGATGGAAGGATGGGGGCATGCGGATGGGGGGGAGATGAGGGTCTGAAGATGAGGGTATGGGGATGGGGGAATGGGGGCGTGGGGATGGGGGGATGGGGGGAAGGGGGGATGGGGGCAAGGTGAGCCGGGCTGGGGGGATGTTGTGGAGCGGGGTGGGGAAGGGAGCAAGGGGGGAAAGGGGAGGGAAGGAGGAGAGGCGGTCAATGGCCATACTTTCTGTGCTCATTTCTGCCCACGTACCTGTGCCCTACCGAGGAGAGGAGGGTGGGGGCCAGGTCGAAGTGACTTTTGAGTCGACTCAAAAGTCACTTCAAGCTCACGTACCCGTGCCCTGCCCAGGAGAGGGTGGGGGGACGGTGAGCAAGGAGGGGAGGGGGGGGGAGTTGGGGGGAAGGTGAGCAAGGAGGGGAGGGGGGGGGAGTTGGGGGGAAGGTGAGCAAGGAGGGGGGGGGTGGGGGGAAGGCGAGAAGGCTGGGGGATGTTGGGGAGGTGAGAAGGCTGGGGGATGGGGGGGAGGTGAGAAGGCTGGGGGATGGGGGGGAGGTGAGAAGGCTGGGGGATGGGGGGAGGTGAGAAGGCTGGGGGATGGGGGGGAGGTGAGAAGGCTGGGGGATGGGGGGGAGGTGAGAAGGCTGGGGGATGGGGGGGAGGTAAGCAGGGGGGAACGTGGGAAAGGTATGGTATCCCCACCCCAGCCTTCTCATCTCATTTGCAGCTCCCCGTAAAAAGAACACCGGAGCAGGGCAATGGGGGTGAGGCGATGATGAGAGCATGATGAAGCCCCAACCGCTCCGCTCTCACACCTCCCCACGCCCCCCCCTTTCCCTTTCCTCCTTCCTCCTCCATTTCTTTCCCTTACTCCCCCTCTCCCGTCTCACCCCGCTGGCCCCTCTCATCCCCCTCTGCCCTCTCATCCCCCTCTGCCCTCTCATCCCCCTCTGCCCTCTCATCCCCCTCTGCCCTCTCATTCCCCTCTGCCCTCTCATCCCCCTCGCCCCCTTCACTCTCCATGTCAGTGGGCGTGCCTGCTGCCGACCGCCATTCAACAAGACCCTGTTGTGTACAGGTATGCTTTTCTTTTCGTAGTTCATAGCAGCCTGTGTGCTCGTGTGCACATGCTGTGAGCTCGTGTGCACATGCTGTGAGCTCGTGTGCACATGCTGTGTGCTCGTGTGCACATGCTGTGAGCTCGTGTGCACATGCTGTGTGCTCGTGTGCACATGCTGTGAGCTCGTGTGCACATGCTGTGAGCTCGTGTGCACATGCTGTGAGCTCGTGTGCACATGCTGTGTGCTCGTGTGCACATGCTGTGAGCTCGTGTGCACATGCTGTGAGCTCGTGTGCACATGCTGTGAGCTCGTGTGCACATGCTGTGTGCTCGTGTGCACATGCTGTGAGCTCGTGTGCACATGCTGTGTGCTCGTGTGCACATGCTGTGTGCTCGTGTGCACATGCTGTGTGCTCGTGTGCTCGTGTGTGTTGACCTGCATAGGCACCACAGCAGCAGCTGCCCTTTCACCTTCGACCTGTTGCACTCCCGCTGCCCTTTCACCTTCGACCTGTTGCACTCCCGCTGCCCTTTCACCTTCGACCTGTTGCACTCCCGCTGCCCTTTCACCTTCGACCTGTTGCACTCCCGGCTGCCCTTTCACCTTCGACCTGTTGCACTCCCGCTGCCTTTCCACCTTCGACCTGTTGCACTCCCGCTGCCCTTTCACCTTCGACCTGTTGCACTCCCGCTGCCCTTTCACCTTCGACCTGTTGCACTCCCGCTGCCCTTTCCACCTTCGACCTGTTCACTCCCGCTGCCCTTTCACCTCGACCTGTTGCACTCCCCGCTGCCCTTTCACCTTCGACCTGTTGCACTCCCGCTGCCCTTTCACCTTCGACCTGTTGCACTCCCGCTGCCCTTTCACCTTCGACCTGTTGCACTCCCGGCTGCCCTTTCACCTTCGACCTGTTGCACTCCCGCTGCCCTTTCACCTTCGACCTGGCCCCCCCCTTTCACCTTCCGACCTGTTCTGCTCCCTTTCACCTCGACCTGTTGCACTCCCGCTGCCCTTTCACCTTCGACCTGTTGCACTCCCGCTGCCCTTTCACCTTCGACCTGTTGCACTCCCGCTGCCCTTTCACCTTCGACCTGTTGCACTCCCCGCTGCCCTTTCACCTTCGACCTGTTGCACTCCCGCTGCCCTTTCACCTTCGACCTGTTTGCACTCCCGCTGCCCTTTCACCTTCGACCTGTTGCACTCCCCGCTGCCCTTTCACCTTCGACCTGTTGCACTCCCGCTGCCCTTTCACCTTCGACCTGTTGCACTCCCGCTGCCCTTTCACCTTCGACCTGTTCCTCCCCCTGCCCTTCACCTCGACCTGTTGCACTCCCGCTGCCCTTTCACCTTCGACCTGTTGCACTCCCGCTGCCCTTTCACCTTCGACCTGTTGCACTCCCGCTGCCCTTTCACCTTCGACCTGTTGCACTCCCGCTGGCCCTTTCACCTTCGACCTGTTGCCCCCCCCCCACTTCCCGGCACTCCCGCTGCCCTTTCACCCTTCGACCTGTTGCCACTCCCGCTGCCCTTCACCTTCGACCTGTTGCACTCCCGCTGCCCTTTCACCTTCGACCTGTTGCACTCCCGCTGCCCTTTCACCTTCGACCTGTTGCACTCCCGCTGCCCTTCACCTTCGACCTGTTGCACTCCCGCTGCCCTTTCACCTTCGACCTGTTGCACTCCCGCTGCCCTTTCACCTTCGACCTGTTGCACTCCCGCTGCCCTTTCACCTTCGACCTGTTGCACTCCCGGCTGCCCTTTCACCTTCGACCTGTTGCACTCCCGCTGCCCTTTCACCTTCGACCTGTTGCACTCCCGCTGCCCTTTCACCTTCGACCTGTTGCACTCCCGGCTGCCCTTTCACCTTCGACCTGTTTGCACTCCCGCTGCCCCTTTCACCTTCGACCTGTTGCACTCCCGCTGCCCTTTCACCTTCGACCTGTTGCACTCCCGCTGCCCTTTCACCTCGACCTGTTGCACTCCCGCTGCCTTCACCCGACCTGTTGCACTCCCGCTGCCCTTTCACCTTCGACCTGTTGCACTCCCGCTGCCCTTTCACCTTCGACCTGTTGCACTCCCCTCCCACCCGCTGCCCCCCTCCCCTTCCGACCTGTTGCCTCCCGCTGCCCTTTCACCTTCGACCTGGTTGCACTCCCCGCTGCCCTTTTCACCTTCGACCTGTTTGCAGCTCCCCCCCCGCCCCCCCCGCTGCCCTTTCACCTTCGACCTGTTGCACTCCCGCTGCCCTTTCACCTTCGACCTGTTGCGCCCCCGCTGCCCTTTCACCTTCGACCTGTTGCACCCGCTGCCCCTTCACCTTCGGACCTGTTGCACTCCCGCTGCCCTTTCACCTTCGACCTGTTGCACTCCCGCGCCTTTCACCTCGACCTGTTGCACTCCCGCTGCCCTTTCACCTTCGACCTGTTGCACTCCCGCTGCCCTTTCACCTTCGACTGTTGCACTCCCGCTGCCCTTTCACCTTCGACCTGTTGCACTCCCGCTGCCCTTTCACCTTCGACCTGTTGCACTCCCGCTGCCCTTTCACCTTCGACCTGTTGCACTCCCGCTGCCCTTTCACCTTCGACCTGTTGCCACTCCCGCTGCCCTTTCACCTTCGACCTGTTGCACTCCCGCTGCCCTTTCACCTTCGACCTGTGCACTCCCGGCTGCCCTTTCACCTTCGACCTGTTGCACTCCCGCTGCCCTTTCACCTTCGACCTGTTGCACTCCCGCTGCCCTTTCACCTTCGACCTGTTGCACTCCCGCTGCCCTTTCACCTTCGACCTGTTGCACTCCCGCTGCCCTTTCACCTTCGACCTGTTTGCACTCCCGCTGCCCTTCACCTTCGACCTGTTGCACCCCGGCTGCCCTTTCACCTTCGACCTGTTGCACTCCCGCTGCCCTTTCACCTTCGACCTGTTGCACTCCCGCTGCCCTTTCACCTTCGACCTGTTGCACTCCCGCTGCCCTTTCACCTTCGACCTGTTGCACTCCGCTGCCCTTTCACCTTCGACCTGTTGCACTCCCGCTGCCCTTTCACCTTCGACCTGTTGCACTCCCGCTGCCCTTTCACCTTCGACCTGTTGCACTCCGCTGCCCTTTCACCTTCGACCTGGTTGCACTCCCGCTGCCCTTTCACCTTCGACCTGTTGCACTCCCGCTGCCCTTTCACCTTCGACCTGTTGCACTCCCGCTGCCCTTTCACCTTCGACCTGTTGCACTCCCGCTGCCCTTTCACCTTCGACCTGTTGCACTCCCGCTGCCCTTTCACCTTCGACCTGTTGCACTCCCGCTGCCCTTTCACCTTCGACCTGTTTGCACTCCCGCTGCCCTTTCACCTTCGACCTGTTGCACTCCCGCTGCCCTTTCACCTTCGACCTGTTGCACTCCCGCTGCCCTTTCACCTTCGACCTGTTGCACTCCCGGCTGCCCTTTCACCTTCGACCTGTTTGCACTCCCGCTGCCCTTTCACCTTCGACCTGTTGCACTCCCGGCTGCCCTTTCACCTTCGACCTGTTGCACTCCCGCTGCCCTTTCACCTTCGACCTGTTGCACTCCCGCTGCCCTTTCACCTTCGACCTGTTGCACTCCCGCTGCCCTTTCACCTTCGACCTGTTGCACTCCCGCTGCCCTTTCACCTTCGACCTGTTGCACTCCCGCTGCCCTTTCACCTTCGACCTGTTGCACTCCCGCTGCCCTTTCACCTTCGACCTGTTGCACTCCCGCTGCCCTTTCACCTTCGACCTGTTGCACTCCCGCTGCCCTTTCACCTTCGACCTGTTGCACTCCCCTGCCCTTTCACCTTCGACCTGTTGCCTCCCCGCTGCCCTTTCACCTTCGACCTGTTTGCACTCCCGCTGCCCTTTTCACCTTCGACCTGTTGCACTCCCGCTGCCCTTTCACCTTCGACCTGTTGCACTCCCGCTGCCCTTTCACCTTCGACCTGTTGCACTCCCGCTGCCCTTTCACCTTCGACCTGTTGCACTCCCGCTGCCCTTTCACCTTCGACCTGTTGCACTCCCGCTGCCCTTTCACCTTCGACCTGTTGCACTCCCGCTGCCCTTTCACCTTCGACCTGTTGCACTCCCGCTGCCCTTTCACCTTCGACCTGTTGCACTCCCGCTGCCCTTTCACCTTCGACCTGTTGCACTCCCGCTGCCCTTTCACCTTCGACCTGTTGCACTCCCGCTGCCCTTTCACCTTCGACCTGTTGCACTCCCGCTGCCCTTTCACCTTCGACCTGTTGCACTCCCGCTGCCTTTCACCTTCGACCTGTTGCACTCCCGCTGCCCTTTCACCTTCGACCTGTTGCACTCCCGCTGCCCTTTCACCTTCGACCTGTTGCACTCCCGCTGCCCTTTCACCTTCGACCTGTTGCACTCCCGCTGCCCTTTCACCTTCGACCTGTTTGCACTCCCCGCTGCCCTTTCACCTTCGACCTGTTGCACTCCCGCTGCCCTTTCACCTTCGACCTGTTGCACTCCCGCTGCCCTTTCACCTTCGACCTGTTGCACTCCCGCTGCCTTTCACCCGCTGCCCTTTCACCTTCGACCTGTTGCACTTCCCGCTTGCCCTGTTCACCTTCGACCTGTTGCACTCCCGGCTGCCCTTTCACCTTCGACCTGTTGGCACTCCCGGCTGCCCTTTCACCTTCGACCTGTTGCACTCCCGCTGCCCTTTCACCTTCGACCTGTTGCACTCCGCTGCCCTTTCACCTTCGACCTGTTGCACTCCCGCTGCCCTTTCACCTTCGACCTGTTGCACTCCCGCTGCCCTTTCACCTTCGACCTGTTGCACTCCCGCTGCCCTTTCACCTTCGACCTGTTGCACTCCCGCTGCCCTTTCACCTTCGACCTGTTGCACTCCCGCTGCCCTTCACCTTCGACCTGTGCCCCCCCCCCTCACCTTCGACCTGTTGCACTCCCGCTGCCCTTTCACCTTCGACCTGTTGCACTCCCCCCCCCCCGACCGGCACCCCCGCCCACCTCGACCGGCACCCCGCCCCACCCGCCTGTGCCACTCCCGCTGCCCTTTCACCTTCGACCTGTTGCACTCCCGGCTGCCCTTTCACCTTCGACCTGTTGCACTCCCGCTGCCCTTTCACCTTCGACCTGTTGCACTCCCGCTGCCCTTTCACCTTCGACCTGTTGCACTCCCGGCTGCCCTTTCACCTTCGACCTTTTTGCACTCCCGCTGCCCTTTCCCTTCGACCTGTTGCACTCCCGCTGCCCTTTCACCTTCGACCTGTTGCACTCCCGGCTGCCCTTTCACCTTCGACCTGTTGCACTCCCGCTGCCCTTTCACCTCGACCTGTGCCTCCGCCCTTTCACCTTCGACCTGTTGCACTCCCGCTGCCCTTTCACCTGTCGACCTGTTGCACTCCCGCTGCCCTTTCACCTTCGACCTGTTGCACTCCCGCTGCCCTTTCACCTTCGACCTGTTGCACTCCCGCTGCCCTTTCACCTTCGACCTGTTGCACTCCCGCTGCCCTTTCACCTTCGACCTGTTGCACTCCCGCTGCCCTTTCACCTTCGACCTGTTGCACTCCCGCTGCCCTTTCACCTTCGACCTGTTGCACTCCCCGCTGCCCTTTCACCTTCGACCTGTTGCACTCCCGCTGCCCTTTCACCTTCGACCTGTTGCACTCCCGCTGCCCTTTCACCTTCGACCTGTTGCACTCCCGCTGCCCTTTCACCTTCGACCTGTTGCACTCCCGCTGCCCTTTCACCTTCGACCTGTTGCACTCCCGCTGCCCTTTCACCTTCGACCTGTTGCACTCCCCGCTGCCCTTTCACCTTCGACCTGTTGCACTCCCGCTGCCCTTTCACCTTCGACCTGTTGCACTCCCGCTGCCCTTTCACCTTCGACCTGTTGCACTCCCGCTGCCCTTTCACCTTCGACCTGTTGCACTCCCGCTGCCCTTTCACCTTCGACCTGTTGCACTCCCGGCTGCCCTTTCACCTTCGACCTGTTGCACTCCCGCTGCCCTTTCACCTTCGACCTGTTGCACTCCCGCTGCCCTTTCACCTTCGACCTGTTGCACTCCCGCTGCCCTTTCACCTTCGACCTGTTGCACTCCCCGCTGCCCTTTCACCTTCGACCTGTTGCACTCCCGCTGCCCTTTCACCTTCGACCTGTTGCACTCCCGCTGCCCTTTCACCTTCGACCTGTTGCACTCCCGCTGCCCTTTCACCTTCGACCTGTTGCACTCCCGCTGCCCTTTCACCTTCGACCTGTTGCACTCCCGGCTGCCCTTTCACCTTCGACCTGTTGCACTCCCGCTGCCCTTTCACCTTCGACCTGTTGCACTCCCGCTGCCCTTTCACCTTCGACCTGTTGCACTCCCGCTGCCCTTTCACCTTCGACCTGTTGCACTCCCGCTGCCCTTTCACCTTCGACCTGTTGCACTCCCGCTGCCCTTTCACCTTCGACCTGTTGCACTCCCGCTGCCTTTCACCTTCGACCTGTTGCACTCCGCTGCCCTTTCACCTTCGACCTGTTGCACTCCCGCTGCCCTTTCACCTTCGACCTGTTGCACTCCCGGCTGCCCTTTCACCTTCGACCTGTTGCACTCCCGCTGCCCTTTCACCTTCGACCTGTTGCACTCCCGCTGCCCTTTCACCTTCGACCTGTTGCACTCCCGCTGCCCTTTCACCTTCGACCTGTTGCACTCCCGCTGCCCTTTCACCTTCGACCTGTTGCGCCCCCGCTGCCCTTTCACCTTCGACCTGTTGCGCCCCCGCTGCCCTTTCACCTTCGACCTGTTGCACTCCCGCTGCCCTTTCACCTTCGACCTGTTGCACTCCCGCTGCCCTTTCACCTTCGACCTGTTGCACTCCCCGCTGCCCTTTCACCTTCGACCTGTTGCACTCCCGCTGCCCTTTCACCTTCGACCTGTTGCACTCCCGCTGCCCTTTCACCTTCGACCTGTTGCACTCCCGCTTCCCTTTCACCTTCGACCTGTTGCACTCCCGGCTGCCCTTTCACCTTCGACCTGTTGTACTCCCGCTGCCCTTTCACCTTCGACCTGTTGCACTCCCGCTGCCCTTTTACCTTCGACCTGTTGCACTCCCGCTGCCCTTTCACCTTCGACCTGTTGCACTCCCGGCTGCCCTTTCACCTTCGACCTGTTGCACTCCCCCTGCCCTTTCACCTTCGACCTGTTGCACTCCCGCTGCCCTTTCACCTTCGACCTGTTGCACTCCCCGCTGCCCTTTCACCTTCGACCTGTTGCACTCCCGCTGCCCTTTCACCTTCGACCTGTTGCACTCCCGCTGCCCTTTCACCTTTCATGTAAAGAATCGCCCCTCAATCGCCTCTACCCCCGTGCCGGGCACGCCAAATGTTTCTCCATCTCCCGCGGCTGCCTTCCCTCCATTTCCCACTTTCCCTCCCCACCAGTGTGGGCAGCAACGAGCAGTACGACTTCGAGCAGGCCATCAGCGCAGTACTGCACACTGAGCCCTTCACCTTTGACCCGTTCCTCTCCCCAGAGGCCACCGCGCGCATGAACGCCCTCCCCTTCCTCCACTTCAACCAGATTGCCGTCGCCGGAGCAGCCAGCCTCAAGGACTTCCGGATGAAGAGCCCCGGAATCACTTTCATGACTTTAGCAGAAGTGATGGCTAAGCTCGGCCACAAGTATGTAGATGTGCTCAAGATGGACTGCGAGGGGTGCGAGGAGAATTTTATCATGGGCCTGAAGAAAGAGACGGAGGAGTTTGTCGGGAGGAGGAAGGCGGAGGGAGGAGCGGTGACGGAAGAGGAGAAGGAGGGCAAGCGGCGGGGTAGGGGGGATGCGAAGCTGGTTGTGAACGGGGGGAATCTGCCGTTTGGGCAACTGCTGGTGGAGTTCCACTAGTGAGTGCCCTGCTTTTGCTTCTGCTTTTGAGTTGGCCCTAAAAGAGGTTTAGAGCGGAGGGGGAGAGGGGATGCGAAGCTGGTGGTGAACGGGAGGGAATCTGCTGTTTGGGAAACTGCTCGTGGAGTTCCACCAGTGAGTGTCTCGTTTTTAGGCGATGTTTTTGTTTCGTGCTGGTGAGCACTCTGTCGCTGTCTCTCTTTTTCGCTCTCTCCCTCTCCTCATTTTGCCGTTTGGCCAGCTGCTGGTGACTTTTGAGTCGAGTCAAAAGCCACCTCGTTTTGCCAGCTGCTGGTGACTTTTGAGTCGAGTCAAAAGCCACCTCGTTTGGCCAACCGCTGGTGGAGTTCCACCAGTGAGTGTCACATTTTCAGCCAATTTTTTAGGCAGCTTTGCCTTATAGCTGTTTCTTTCTTCTTCTTCTCCACCACTATTCCTCCTCCCCTCCCCCCCTCCCTTTCCCCATCTCCCGCCCGCCTTGTCCCTACATGTTGCCCTTACCCCTTCCTCCACCCGTACCTCCCCTTCCCCCCCTCCTCCTCCCCGTCTGTACAGCATGCACGACCCCAAGCGGTCGCTGCCCTTCCTCTACGCCGTGGAGGGCATGGGGTACCGCATGTTCCACGTGGAGCCCAACCCCCTCTTTCCCCCTATCCCCCTCCCCCTCAACACATACAGCATGCACGACCCCAAGCGCTCCCTCCCCTTCCTCTATGCCATGGAGGGCATGGGGTACCGCATGTTCCACGTGGAGCCTAACCCCCTCTGCTACTCGTGCATCGAGGTGGCTTTTGTTCATGAGGACCTGGTAGTACCGCCGCTAAGCCTCGACTGCTCGGCTGTGCTAAGACAGTCTCCCGTGTCAGAGTATGTGGCGAGATGGTTGCCAGGAGGAGGAGGTGGGAAAAACAGCAACAATGGCAGTACCAGCAGCAGCAGAAGCAGCACAGGGACTGGTGGGGGTGGTGGTGGTGAGGGTGGTGTGTAGACTAACCTAGCCCAACCCCCTCTGCTACGCGTGCATCGAGGTGGCGTTCATACATGAGGACCTCGTTGTGCCGCCGCTAAGCCTCGACTGCTTGGCCGTTCTCAGGCGCTCTGCCGTGTCAGATTATGTGGCAAGATGGTTGCCGGGGGGGGGGGGGGAAAGCGGAAGTAGCAGCGGCAGCACCACAGGCACTGGTGGTGGTGCGGGTGGTGGTGAGAAGATCACCTCAACCAAGCATCGTGTTTATTGGTTCGAAGCTAGCACTTAGCACACATGTTTTGTCAACTTCCTATAGTAGATATGTCTTTCTTCAAATAAATGAGAAAGAAATGAAGGAGCTTTTCAAATGTCTCTACTGAAAAGTGAGCTGGTTTTATCAGTTCGACGTTTGCAGTATTGAGGATTTTCGCCAAACGGGCTTGGTCGGCGACTCTGACCAATCAGCAGCCCTTGTGCGAAAATCAGTCGCCAAAACTCTCGGCGAAAGAAGATTGTGTTCGCTGCCCGACAATTCAGTTCGTCAGTGAGAGGAGTCAAGCTCATCACACGCTGCTGACTCGATTTCGTCACTGTCGCTGAGAGTATCCGCGACGGCATGGCATGGTAGTTGACTCATCGTTGACCGAGGTTCAGCGAAACTGGACTTTGCCTACGGGTCTGCGACTGGCCAACTGCCTGACAGACGGACGGAAGCCGCTGTTACGTGTACTGCTGTAAAATGCCAAGCCAAGCGAGCACCCATAATCGATAAAATCTCTGCGACCAACGAGACTGGCTTGCGACGCTGTACGACAGAAACGACCTTGATTCTACTGAGTGCAGAGTAAACATGAGAGGTTGTGATGTGAACTTCTGAAGCCTAGGTTCTGCCGAGCTGGGTACTGAGAGTGATTATGGAGCTCGTGTCTGACACTAGAGTCAGACGGGACCACCCGAGGTAGAAAATTAGACGGCTGTTTGACTGGAATCTCACGTTCAGCTGACAAAATTAGCGACAGACGAGTAGCACGAAAGCTGATCGAATATCGTCCGCCAGTCTACGACTCGGAATGCCATATAGTCACAATTCGTTCTGGCTCTATTTCTCGCTTTCACGTGACCGGCAGAATCACAAGACCCTAAGTTGGGTCTGCAAAACCCGCGGCTCCTTCGGCCGCGGGTCAGTCTCGGGTCAGACCCGAGGTGCGGAATCCCTCTCAACCTCTATGAATCACTAGAATACTAGGAGCTCGACGAAAAAACGTCAGGCAAATTAGGTCTACATTCGTGGCTGTGTGAATTCAGAGGATTCGAAAGTCCAGCAGCTTTCTCCGTTGATCTTGAATCACAGGCGCTTCTTGCCGGCGTTGTTGCACTGTTCTCTGATTACTCGAGAGAGCATCGCTTAGCGGGCAGTGGCTTGAGTCGCTGAATGTCAGAAAGTAAGCAGTTTCCATCACCTGGATCCTGAAAACTCGTTTTGAGACGCCTCAAAATTAAGTTATTATCCCATGGAGTAAGCAGGTTCCAGCAGAAGGATCCTGAAACAAGCTGTCGCACGCGGACAACGAAACTATTTTCCATTCCTAGTCTGTGCTTTTCTTGCAATACTCTCATCTATATTATTCACTTTATCGTAAGTCGTAGCTCGGCCTATCCTTACCGCTTGAAATGTCGTTCCCAATCCACGTGGCACATCACCTATTCAGCCAGGTCTGCCTCGCTCCTTTTCGCCCGGCTCTCGCACGTTTTGCGTGTTGAGCTATATGACCTTTCGCTCTCAAATTGGCTTCCTTCATAATTGGTCGTTTAACTCGTGAGACCACACGCAAGGTCACTTTCCTGCTCAGCTCTACCCTCAAGCTACCCTCGAAACCTTCACCTCTTGACTGTGAATGTCTTCTCCTTCTCAATCCTTCCGTTATCGTGTGCTTCGTTTCCTCCGTGCTTTTCTTTCTTTATCCCACCATCCTGTGAATCTACGTCCAAACGCTACGCGTGAAACAGGGCACCATTCTTTTCCCGGAGGACAACGACCTTCCAGAGACTTCTGGCTTAAGAGCTTCTAAGATCTTTCAGGCGTTGAGAATTTATCCGAAGGCTGCTTCTGAAGGAACAGTACTGCTGTGTTTGAGACGTTAACGAGCTGTGCTGTACACTATACACTTTTTCTACAGCGTTGTCCCTGCCGCGTCGAGGTTGACAGTAATTCCTTCACTATGGGAAGCGGATCATCTAAAGACGGGGTTATCAACAAAGACGTAGGTGAGGATTCCGCTATCCCACTTGAGCAGCACACATATTCTGCGAGGCAGCGACTTCTTTGGAAATGCTTAGCGTTGGTATGGGAAGCGGATCATTTAAAGACGGGGTTGTCAACAAAGTCATAGGTGAGGACTCCGGTATTCCACTTGATTCTTTGAAGAATTCATATTCTTTCTTTCAACCATTTCACAGCATTTCTGGTGGCAAGGATGCCACGTCACCCTGAACTCTCTTTCTGCTTGACGTGGACCAGTAGTCCCTCCGTGTGCTGTTTTCCAGATGTGCGTCTCCGTGCTCGTTCCATCTCGCCTCTCCCCCTTCTTTCCTTCTCCCCCTGGTGTCTCTCCCCTCCTCACCAGGATCCACTAAAAACTCGGTGATTTTCGTGCAGCCTGGCCTGAAGGCCGTCTGTGATTGTTTAGACGACTCAGATATTACCTTTTGCCCCGGTGGTGTCTCTCCCCTCCTCACCAGGGTCCACCAAGAACTCTGTCATTTTCGTGCAGCCCGGCCTGAAAGGCGTATGTCAAGATTCTGCGCTCGCCACAGAGGTGAGACTAAGCAGTCTCGTGAGGAGATTCATCTGTGTGGGTGCTAACCTTTGGCTGTCCTTCACCTCTCGTCTGAGACGACTCAAACATAAACTAAACTACTTACCCACGCTTGCCACAGAGGTGAGAATAGGCAGTCTCATGAGGAAAGTCATCTGTGTGGATGCTATCCTTTGGCTGTCCTTCACCTCTCGTCTCCTTTGCATTGATCCAAGGGTGCATGTCAAAAATCCACGCTTGCAACAGAGGAATGCAGCAGTGCAGCTGAGAGCACTGTGTTTGCTTGTTTCCATGGCACTGCACGGTCAGCTGCCAGAGACGCTACCCTCAAGCCCGCCTATCCTTACCCCCCCACCCTCCCACCCTCCCACAGATCCTCATCCTTACAGCCATGTCAGGCGAGCAGGGGAGCACCCTGGTTGGGGTGTTTGACGGGCACTGCTTGTCCAGCCACTACGTTTCCAAAGACGGCCCGCGAGCAGCTGCCAGAGCCACTACCCTCAAGCCCGCCTCTCCTTCCCGTCCCCCCTCCCACAGAGCCTCGTTCTCACACCCACGTCCGGGGAGGCAGGCAGCATGCGACCAGCTGCCAGAGCGGCTCAAAGCAGCCATGGAGAGCACGCAGCATGAGCTCGCCCATGTGGACGGGGCGGCTGCCAGGGAATGTCTCGAACACCCCTCTTCTCTTCCTCCTCCTCCCCTCCCCTTTCCCCCCCTTCCTGTCCCCCCCTCCCTCCGTTCCCCCCTCCCTCCGTTCCCCCCTCCATCCGTTCCCATGCACTTGCAGAATCTCATCCTTACAGCTTCGTGCGGGGACGCAGGCAGCACCCTGGTGGGGGTGTTTGACGGGCACGGCTTGTCCGGGCACTACGTGTCCAAGACGGCCCGCGACCAAGTCCCCGAACGGCTCAAAGCAGCGGTGGAGAGCACACAGCACGAACTGGCGCATGTGGAAGGGGCGGCTGCCAGGGAGGTGTGGATGCGCGTGTTCAGTGGAGTTTTTAGTGACATTGATGAGGAGCTCAGGAAGGACCTGTTTCACAACCGGGACAGCGGGTCCACAGCTGTGGTGGCACTCAGGCTGGTAGGTGCGCTAGCTGCTAGCTGCTTGCTGCCAGGGAGGACGTGTGGATGCGCGTGTTCAGTGGGGTGTTCAGCAATATCGACGAGGAGCTCAGGAAGGACCTGTTTCACAACCGGGACAGCAGGTCAACGGCTGTGGTGGCACTCAGGCTGGTATGTGTGCTGCCTGCTTGCTGCCAGGGACGTGTGGATTCGCGAGTTCAGTGGGGTGTTTAGTGACATTGATGATCCATAGTGGGGGCACTCAGGCTAACCCTCACTTCTGTCCTGTCCTCTCTGCATGCCCGTCCCCCCCCCCCACCCACCCGTCAACCCGCTTCTCAGGGCTCGGAGCTGATAGTGGCGCACATAAGCGACTCCCGCGGTGTGCTGGCTCGCACTGCCAGAGCTCCGCTGTCCCATTCGCACTCTACCCTAACCCCGAATTCCCTTCCCCCATCCCCCCTAACCCCCCCCTTCCCCCACCCCTACATCTCTCAGGGCTCGGAGCTGATAGTGGCGCACATAGGCGACTCACGCTGTGTGCTCGCTCGCACTGCCAGAGCCCCTCCTAACGGGAAGAGCGATGGAGGGACAATAGAAGCTCTGCAGCTGACCACAGACCACAAGGCCAGCAACCCAGGTGAGGCAATTCGCCGAGTAGCAATATGGGCAACATGATGGTGTCGGCGAACGACCCCCTGGCTCAAGGTGAGTGACGTGAACCCACTTGCTTCCACTAGGACCTAGCAACAATGGCGGCTCTGCAGCAGCTGACCACAGACCACAAGGCCAGCAACCCAGGTGAGACAGAGTGTACCACACAGGTGAGCTGCTGCAATGCCATGTAGCAGCACTTTATCCGATGTAACACTAAATATGCCATGCCATGTGCGTGTGCCTTTTTCAGGCGCCTAAAGAATGAGCTGCTGCAATGCCATGTAGTAGCACTTTATCCGATGTAGCACCATATGCCATGCCACGTGAGCTGTGCTTTCCCACACTGCCAGAGCTGACTTTCGAGTCGACTCAAAAGTCACCCCGTGAGCTGCTGCAATGCCCTGTAGCACCATATGCCATGCCATGTGAGCTGTGCTTTCCCGCTCTGCCAAAGGTTCCCCAACTTCAGAATATTCCCTTCTGCAAAACCGACCCAACCCTGTCTCTCACTCTCTCTCCCTCCCCTCCCCTACCCCACCACAGCTGAGAAGGTCTGGGTGACAGAGGCAGGCGGCAACTTCCTCCCTGCCAGACACAACCCTAATTCAGGCGCTCTCTCTCTTGCTCCCTCCCCTCCCCTACCCCACCACAGCTTAGAAGGTCCGAGTGGCAGAGGCGGGTGGCAAGGCCCTCAACTACACGAACACCACCGACAGAATCTTCCTCTCTTCTGTCTCCTCGTCTCCTCCCCTCCCCCCCCCACGATCCGTCCCCTAGTGCAGCTGAGAAGGTCCCAAGTGACGTAAGCAGGTGGCA